GCTTGAAAACTGGGGCACAAAAGTGCAGCTTAGTAAAACCCAGGGGAATAATACATCCTAGTGTTTTGCAGGTGGAAAAAAAGTCCTCATTCATTATCAGTTTTTCCTGCTCACTTCTCTGTCTCTGCTATTTCCTTGCTGTGTGAATTTGGAAAGTGGCTCAACTCCTTTTGTAAAGCTTCTTGACTTCTGTGAGTGGAAAATTCTTTAGAAATGCTAAGTGGGATCACTGATGCAACAACTTCATGCAATACCTTCATTGTCATTAACTTGGCATCAAGAAGTATCCGAGGATCTTTTACATGGAAAGGCCTTCCTATAACCCTGGGTAAATGTTTGTCCTTCAGTCAACACACACGATGCCAGGATGTTCCCAGGATGTAATGTCTTGGGTGTCATTACAGCTGTGGTGGGAGCTAACAGCTCCACGTCCACTGCCTGCACAGTGAATGCTTGACCTGCTATGCAGAGCTGGAAACTCACTCGGTGTCAATAGGCTTCACATTGCTGCCAACGAGACAGGGAGCTGCAGAAGCTATAATACTCTTCTGCAGTTTGTGTTGTCAAACAAGCTACTTTTCTAGAAAGGATCTAGTTCTCCAACAAAAGGAGACTTTATTGCCCTTGATTGCAGATGGGGAAATCTGTAGCTGTGGGGCTCCAGAACACAGCTCTTCATATCGCTGTCTCCTTTCAGATCAAGACCTGCTACACGACATCGCCTAATTAATTTCTCATAAAATGCAGAATTCTTCCCATCCATGTTCCTGCTGGTTTTATGGTCATATATAACATAATATAATATTTCCATCCTTTTTTATAAATATTTCCATCCTTTTTTTTTAATAAATATTTTTAAATAATTTCAGAAAAGGATCACATACAAGAGACACAAATTCCAAGTGACATCTACAAGAGAGCCTTCCTTTTCTGAGTGTGAGGAGCCCCTGAAGTGAGCTGTGGCAGGGCAGGGCCAGAAGGTGAAGAGAACAGTGGCAGATACGGACAGAGGGTGGTTCAAAGGCATCTGGGAGCCAGTGGGATTTTGGTCATGGTTTTCTTTGAACACACAGTCTGCAATAAGTTCCCACCCCTGAATTCTGCATGTCTACCAGCATAAGAGTGTAGGGGAAGAGTGGCTGCAGCTAGGACTCTACAAAGTAACTGCAACTCTTCAAACAACTATTCTTCTTTTCTGTATTTTTTTTCATAAGCAGAAGAGTAGGATTCCTTGGGGCTCCTAGTGAGGAAATGATAAAAGTGAGGCTGAAGGCCTTTAGGTCCAGCAGATTGTTAATAGTCTGCTAAACACTCTACTGCAAAGTCAGCAGTGCTGCTTCTTATAGAGCACAGAGTCTGCAAAAATACAGGGACTTTCATGTAGAAGCCCCCAAATGACTTGTCAGGTGCTTCAAAGGCAAGCAAGGAGTCTCCCAGGTTTAGACAGAATGCCAGAGTAGAGGAGTAGGAGGGAAGAGGTACAATACAACCAAGGATGTGATCACCTGGAAACTGTTCACCCACTGCACTTATAGTGTTTCTGTACAGACTTTTACTGAAAAATAAGAGCTGGTATTATGGGAGGGCAAATGCTACTGACTCACCTGCTGTGCATAATAATGGAAGGCATTATCCCCTGACGGACTGACAAATACCATCAGATGAATAAGCGTTCTGATTTTCCTACAAGTTGATTCTTTGAAGTAAAGGAAAAACTTTTATTTTCCTCTTAAACCATGAGGAATATGTATTCTTTTATATCTTTAATTTAATTTATTCTTTGAATGCTATTTGAAAAGAAATATGTAATCTAGCACCATATGTAGCAAGGTGGAACTCACCTTCCCCTGCTCCTGGGGAACTAGAAGCTGTCCCAGTGATATCCACGGAATTGGCAAACATTTGGTTTTGTGGCATACTATGCACACAGATGTTGTTTTATCCCACTGTCTCTTTCCAAACTCCATCTTTGAGTGAAAAGCAAAATGAGAGATACTACATTGACCTTATCTCAGCAAATCCTGTTATAGTGATATTGCTGTTGTGGTGAAGTGACCTTGACTGGCTGCCAGACAACTCACCCTTCCGCTGTCTCACTATCTCACCTCCTCTACAGGATAGGAAAGAAAATTAGGTGAATATGTTCATGGGTAGAGATAAAGACAGGGAGATCACTTAACAACTGCTGTCACAGGCAAAACGGAGTTGACTTGGAAAAAATGATTTCATATATTTCCAATTAAAATAGAGTTGAATTGTGAGAAAAAAAAAAAAAGACAAAAAACCCCCCTAAACCTTAAAATAGGTTCCCCACGCCCCTTTTTCCTAGTCTTGACTTCACTTCTCCCTTCTCTGCTTTCCCCATCCCACATCCCCATCAAGCAACGCAGTGGGAGGAGAATGGGGGTTGCAATCAGTCCACAAAAGTTCCTCTCTGCCATTTCTTCCATCTCACATTTCTTCCTGCTCCTGCATGGATCTTTACCCAGGGCTACAGTCCTTCAGTATAAACCTGCTCCAGTGTGGTTCTCATCTCCAGAGGCCACAGCTTCTACCAGGAGCTTGCTCCTGTGAGGACTCTCCACAGACTGCAGCTTCCTTTGGGCCAGTGTGGGGTCCTTCATGGATTGCTGTGTGGATATCTACTCCACCATGGTCCTCTCCAGCAGCATTTTGCCCTTTCTTAAACAGCGACACCTCCTTTTTGGCTGACAGGCCAGGCTCTACCCTGTGATGGGTTCGTTGCTGGAAGCATCCACGCTTGATACAGGACAGCCCTGTCCTCCCCTGATGCAGGCTGCCCCTGTGGCCTCAAGACACCCAGTCCAGTGATGTAGCTTGTCTCTCTGAGTCCATTTCTTAATAAAAGATCAAAAGCTGTATCACTTTTTTCTTTGCATTTTTTCCCCAGAGGTGTTCGTCCAGCCACAGCACAAGCTGTGTGGCCTGCTCTTTCCAGGCACTGGCATTTCTGATCCAGACATGCGATGAGGCTGTTTGTCAGCTTTCTCACCCACTCATTTATGTAATTAGCAGACCTCTTATGCTGTGTTTTAGACAGAAAAAGTGTTTATAGCTGGCAGCACTTTAGCTTCAATACCTAGAAAAGCTTTTTAGGGTTTTTTTTAGTAAAAGTTATGTAACTCACCTGGGCATTGTTCTTCAATGCAGGAATCGCTTCCATTCAGTCAGATTTGTGAGTTTAAACTTCTCCATGTAATACATTTCACAACTGAGAATAAAGGGCTTACATTAGAGAGGACTTGAACAGAATTGCTCTTCAAATAAAAAGAATAATTTCCTCTTCAAGGTTAGTGCTAAAACTTTTAAACAAATAGCTGAAGAAAGAAAAAAATTGTCTATGAGTGGTGCTACCCAAAGTGACTGGGTGAGTACAGGTATGAGACCACTTCAGGAATAACTTTAGGAGTGTGATGCAAATAGCCTGAGGTGGTCACACATGCTGCAACATCCTCCTGACACCTGGTAGAAGAGATGTCCTCGTGCACAGCTGCAGAGGAGACTGGGTTAGGATGGGCCAGATTTTCTGCTGACGTGACTTTACTGAAATCAGCAGTGTTTTGTCAGTGGATAATTCAGCACATAATCTTAAAAGTTTGTTACACGGGTTAAAAATCCGTGTAGTTTGGATATAAAACAATGATCTGATGTGCTGAGGGATTGTTATGTGCACAGCAGTGTGAAGGTGACAAATGCTTCCGGTCTTTCTGTTCCTGCATAAAGTACACTACACTGTTTTGTTTGAATTTTTAATGTAGCTTGACAAAGGTCAAATATATTTGTAGAAATGCATTTATACTGCAGATACACACTTTAAATTAAGACTTATATGCAAGAGCCTTAAAGACACAGCAAAACTTAGCTATTTTGTCAGAGCCAAAAGTTTTATTCTTTCTTATCAGAATATAGGATTTTCTTTTCCAACCTGCATTTTTTTTTCTAGTAAATTTTCAGTAAGAAAGGCAAATGCGAAATCTCTCCTTTACTTGCACACATTCAAGAAGCCTATGTCTTAAAAATACTGGAGACTTGGACATACTAATTATTAAAATCATGCTATCATTTTCCTGCAGATAGTACCTAAACAATATTGTATTGTATCTTTATAAAACAATTGAAATAAGAATTATACCTTTTTCTAAAATCCTTGGGGTTTTTTATCACTATCTCCACTCATTTCAAACAAAATATTTATCTGCAAATGTTCAAGTCCAGATCTGTTGTAATCTTTTGCTCCTCTTAGACCTTGTAAATAGATAGGTAAAGAAGACACTCCAACTTTACCTTTCTCAAATGTTAAAAAATGATTGTTTTCCTTATATCTAAAAGGAACCTAGGATGCCATTATTCCCTAGACGTCAAATCCTTGAGGAAACCAAACCTATTAAAAGTTTTGAAAGAAGTCAATATAAGGTGGAAACCTTGGCAACCTAAGATTTGTTATGATTGAGGTGGATGTAAGAGTTAAGGCAGAATTTTTTTGTTTGTTTTTTGTCTTATTATTCAAACATCTGAATGTGATCTGAGGGACTTTTTGTGGGAAATCTTACCTGGGTAGAGAATTTGGAGCCTTGCACCACTGCTATTCTCGTTTGTTCTGACAACCAGTAGCTCCCAAATGTTAGGGTGAATGCGTAGGTTGGCTCCTGTAGTAGCTCCAAAGCCGTAAGCAATATAGAAATTTCTAGGTTTGTTTTTGAGCCTTGTACCCATATACCTTCATGGAGCTAGACCAAAAGCAGGTCTTAAGTTCCTATTGGAATCAGACTCCAACAGTTGCCAAGAGTCAAGTAAGTTGTTGGGAACTCTTTATTTCTGCCTAAATGTTTATACTGGACAAAATCTGTGTAACTTAGCCCAAGTCGCAGTAAGAACATGTCATTGTAGATTATAATTGCTGATAGATGTTCAGTCTGTATGCCACAGTTCACATACATTTTTTATGGACTTATAATTAGTGCGGTTTTGGTCTCCTGCAGGTTCCAGCTTTGGAAATGAAGAGCAAGCCACCCCTAAGGCATCTGCACCTTCTAAAGATGTTCCCAAGGGCAGCAGCAAGAGCACGACACAGGTATCAAGCGGCACAGTGACTCCACGCAGGACCTTACTTCTAGCACCAAAAACTGCCACAGCATCTGCTGGTAAGTGCTACAAACTTAAAAAACCACCTGCGTTAGGTGAAGAAATGCAGAAGCCTTATTATGATGCTTGCTTAATTAATTTTCTTGCCATTCTTGGGCGCACTGCCGTTGTGCTGATTTGAACTCTGTTTACTGTGGTCTCTTTGAAACACAGCTGTAATCTCATTTTGTGAGTTGTGTTTGGAGCTGAAGGCATGTACTGTCCCTAACTACACATGCTGGAGATTTAGTGTATATTTTATTGTATATATGTTTGGAAACATTGCATTGCTTTAGAGACCAAAGCATTCCACTGAGCAGATAGCTTATTGCTAGGTATGTTTGCAAGCCTCTAGGCTTTAGCAATCTGTGGTATGTTCACTCAGAGAGGTAGAAGGAGGCAAGCAAATAAAACAAAAAAAACCCTAGTCTTGTTTCCAAATTGTTTCCTTACCTAAACCCTCCTTCTGCTCAATCCAGTTATGTCTCAAATGACAAGTTCCATCAAGTTCAGATTAAATCTAACAGTTTAGACTCCATAATAAATAATTTTGTGTAAATCACCAGCCCTATCCAGTCTGGCTTTTATTCAACAGTCTTTCATCTCTATGTAAGTTCCACTGGGTTTGACAACACACTGCAAATGGAGCTGGGAAGAAAATATCAGCTGGGAAGAAAGTAGCAGCAGATATGTCAGGGGCATGTTCTGAATTACCCTGAGATTTTCTATTCCAAGGAATGATTCATTTTGTGAGGAGGGTTTTTTCCTTCTTCTTTTTTTTTTAATACCAGATAAAGAGATTTTTCTTTTTAAAAGACAGAAAACAATCACTTTCAGATGAGACAATGAAATAGTAATTGTCCTTTTTTTCTCATCAGATTGACTTTAAATTTGAAAGCACAAGTGTTAGCAGTTTCTACTTCAATAAATACATAGTCTTACTTCTACGTCTACTTATTTATTCAGTGTCTCATAGATCACAGGAAGGAGAGAGTCTCTAGAGAGAATTAGGCTGCTCGTATTCTACAGAATCCGTCATATTTCCAGCTTTACTCATTTTGTCTCAAACAATGCATGCAGAGAGATGTTATTACTCACCAAGGACATGACTAGTCATGGGTATCGGGGGGAAGGACAGAAGAAAGCTTAAAGTGGCTCTCTCTGTCTATGAGTGACTGCAAGCCCTTCTTTTTTTTAAACTTGCAGACTGCATTAGTCAACTTATAAAATACTCCTGTGAACAGCTGGAATCCATCTGAATGTAGTCAGTCCCACTGAATTGTTAACGATGTCTACAGCATGTTAGGATTTGTTTTGAATAAATACTCAATGTGCAATTTGTTAGCATGTTTTCAGTCTGAAGTGTGAAAGCAAATTGAAGCCTATACCACCATACTGGCTTTTGAAGACTCAGAAAGCTACAGGCAAATACAAGTGCTGATTCTGCAGCAGCACTTGAGAAGATGTCTCAGATAAAGCATATTTTGCTCTGGTTCCTAGACTAGCATTCAGCAGTGCTGTGAGAATGGAGAAATGGCTTTGTTTGTCTGCAGTTTTTCCAAGTGATTTCTGGAATGTTTTGCCTTGTATTTCTAATTATTTTGCATTTGCTCCTTCTGGGTTTTTTTTGGAGCAGGCTGTGTGTTTTAATTAGGAAATGTAAGTACCTTTATAGAATTGTGCATTTGGATGCATTTTTCAGAAGCAAATGCTGCAAGCACACTAGTAGACAAGATGAGCAAATATTTATGCTCACAGTTATCTTATGGCCTTAAATATCCATTTCTTTACACAAATATAGCTTTTAAAAGACATGAAATATTGGGAGATTGGTAACCTTAAATGGAATGTAGATTCATGTAAAAATTAATCGTTTGTGGCTTTGATTACTGGCTACCAGAGAGACAACGTCTTGCTGCATGAGCTCCTGTAGTGGAGGGGTTTGGCAGAACCTTGGAAGTTGTTCCATGAGGCCTGGAAGTTAGTGGTGGTTCTTGCTCTGCCAGGAACTTTTTGCTGGGAGGTTATCTACTAAGAGCCCTGAGTATGCAGCCAGAAGGAATAAAGCTAATATACAGGCATTTAACACGGAGCTAATTGGAGTTTCATATTTCAAGTCTGTGGGCAATAACACTAAGAGTTTGAAATAAATTTTCTTCCAGATTAGAGTTAATATACATTTTAAAAGACGAATTTAGAAAAAAATTCAAACAGTCTGCAAGTTCAAGAAATACACACTCATGATGCCTTATTTCCTTTTGTAATTGCATTTTTTGTATTTTTTATTTCATTTTATGAGTGCATGCACAACACCTTTTGACATTTCAAAATACATTTGATGGAGTATTATTTGAGGTTTTACATGCATTCAGGCCTGTAATAACATCTAAAATGTTCGTCTTGTTTCCCGAGTTACTGTGGAGCATCAGACTTTTTATGTGCATTTTAGCCTTTGAGTTATTTCTAGTGCACTCCAAGCTAGAAAAGATCAGACTATATAACCTCTTGCTGTGCCATACCCTGTGGTCCCGCATATAATGCTGATCATTGCACCAATGCTCTCTCTCAGATTTTTTAAACCTGAAATTCGATACTTCTGTGAAATGACAAAATCTGAGCCCAAATAATTGTAATATAAACATTAATTTTCCCTGCAGGACATTCACTTGAAATCAACATGTTCTCTGAATGTTTGTCTTTTAACCAACTAACAGCCCTTGTTTCAAAAGACAAGACAAGAAGAATCCCCATTTTTAGAAAAATGTTCAGCACAAGCTCTTCTTTGAGGTCAGATGCTAGGGATGGTTATTCCCCTAAAATTTCCCTGTGGGTGATGAGTTTAGCAGAATGATAACAGTTTCCTCCTGCAGACCATCCTTTCTTTTGCCTGCTGTGTGCTTTCTAAATCCCTCTCCTCTAAGGAGGGCCAGAGGACACCAGGGCCCTTCTACTTATGAAGGAGAAGTTGAATGATTATTAGCTCCATGTGTCCCTCTCCTTGTCCTTTTTCCAGCAAGAATGTGCTAGGCACTGGCTCTTCCCTTGCTGCACAACTCCTCCTCACTTGCCCAGTCATTGCACTGCCGCCCTACCAGACCTTAGAAGCTCTCCTGGTCTGGTAAACTGAAGGAGGGCAGTTATCCTCATTTCCCCCTCCTTGTTACTAATCTACTTATCTGCCCTTTTCAAGATATCTATTTACACCTTCTCTCTGCTGATCTCCCACCTTCTGAAGCTGATTCTCATGCAGCTGCCCCTACTGGTCAGCACCATCTGTACCCACTGCTCTCCGCAGACCCTGCCTTGCCCTCTGCAAAACAATGGTGTTCTCTGGGCTTCTCTGCTACTTTGCTCTATTTTCTTTCAACCAGGCTCTAACTGGGGAATTGTTCCTCGCTTTGTGATTAAGGCTGGGGGGTGGGGGAGCCTGAAAAAATTCCTCAGGTGTTCCCATTGAAAATGTCTCAAAAACAAAAGTAGTTTATTATTTGCATACCCTTTGCTGCTGAAAGCGTAAGGAAAGCACACACTTTCCCTTACCATTGTCTCTGTTTGCTGTAGCAAAATTTATGGAGGAGCTCAGTCTGTGGCCCAACTGTGCATCATATTTTTGTTTTGAAAGCGACAGAAAAGCCAAAGCCTCATTACCATGAAAAAGTAATGCTTGAATCTGTAACTACATAAACTATGCCTTATAAAACAAACTCTGGTTTTGTCTCACAGCTCCCATCTCAGGTTGCTTTCACAGCCATAAACTTATTTTATGTCCTGCTCAGTAGTTAAGTACAGTGCAATAGGTGGCAGACATGGGTAATTTATATCTTCAGTCACTTCATTGTGAAAAGTATTAATCCCAAATGAGAATCAACAACTTGACTTTATAAACAGCAGAGAAAATGGAGATGGACAAAAGTAAAGGTATGAGGAAGAGTTCAGTCTTTACCAGCCCCTGACAACTAATGGTGTGATTTGCCTATGAACAGTGGAAGAGAGTCAAAGAGGGGTTTAGACCTTGTCCCATGCCACCCTCCCACAAAGAGTTGGACACAAGGCTTGTGCAGGTGCATGTGCTCTTTGCAGAAGCACTCTGCAATTAAATGCTGGAAATTATGAAGCTCAGTTTCTGGTGCATGTCAAATGCTGCATCTGCAGCTCACTGCTTGCAAGTCCTGATGCAGACCGAAGTGGAAGTGTGAATGATGCATCAGAAATAAACCTAATACTGCAATTGTGACTAACTGTGGCTTTGGAGGGAGCAGAAAACTAGTAATCCAGTAAGTGTCCCTCAAGATTATGATCCCCATATAAAATTATAACTTTTTTCCACTGCTGAAATAGATAGGTCACATTTGCATTAAACAAAATGGAAGACAGTGCTAGCTTTTGGACTGCCACTGTCATTAGGCATCACCAAGAAAATACAATTTTGTTTTTCCTGCTTCAGATACTTCAGATTCTGTGGGACATTTTCCTATAAGATGTCTGTGAACATACTCATGAGAGAAGGGAAAATTAATAAGGCAAACTTTATTTTTCCTTTATGACAAATCATTTGCCTTTAGATCTCTCTATTTTTCATGTGTATTTGGGGGCTGTGACACAGTCCTTCAGGCTAAAATTAAACCCTTAACAAACAATAATGGTAAAAAAGAGGAAAGCAAACAGGAAAATACATTAATGTCTCAGGGGGGTGGTTTTTATTGCTCTTTCTTCTTACTTCCATGATGAATGTTTTCTGCTTGAAATACTGTGGTTGTGACTGTCACACCATGGTCAAACAAGCAGGGCAGGACTTCACGTTATTGCACTCAGCATGATCCCCACAGCTATTTTGATGGGAGCTGTGGGTGGGCAGGAGGGGTGAGCTGAGCTTGGGTGGCCGCTCTGGCATTCAGATGAAGTGGTATCTCCCTGGTATACGAGGCAGTCAGTGACCACATAACTTTGACAACTGACAGACCCTCCCGAGGCCCTAACCAGAGAGTGCCAGTGGTAGAAGGAATAATAACAGACACTGAGTTGCCTCTCTGAAAAATTCCGTGCCCTGTTGAATCCCGAATTGGCACAGTGTCTTGTAGGTTTGTGCACTGAATGTGCTGCACGTGTCTGTCCCTGCCTGACTTATTGCACAGGCAGAAACCCACTCTCCTGTGTCTGGGCGGCCACATCCAGCACAGCTCTGACACGTCCTGCCTGCTTCTGGTTCAAGCCTATCTCTTGCCTGTATGAGTCGGTCTTGGGAAAGCTGGTGACCAGAAAAGGCAGTTTCCTAACCTTGGAAAAATTTTATAGAGCAGGGACCTGCAGGTAACTTCAGTCAGCTTCTCCTGCAGCCCAGAATAAGGATGTGCAGCAAGGTAAAGGGACAGAGCATTGAACTCAGAAAAGATAGGATGGGCTACCCATGTAGCTGTTTGTGCCTTAGTGGCATTTGTCACTGTGCAGATGACTGAAAAACCAAGGTAGTATGTAAGGCCTTCTTTCGTCCTTCTTTAGTGCTGTGTATGTCAGCTCAACCACATGTACGCAGCTGTGTTTGCAGCTGTGGCAGGTTGGCATCCAACACTGAAGTCTGTGTAGCATCATTCTGTGTGAAGTCTAGGGTGTGTATTGAAGAAATATTTGTATTTTACCATTTTGGTATGTATCTCAGTGACATAGCTCTGCACAATTGTGAACAGAATTATAAAACAGATATCTTTCTACCTTTAATTTTTTTTTTCTAAAGCAGGTGTGAAGAAAGAAGTACAAAAAGATCAGGATGCTAACAGACCAGCTGTGTCATCCCCTAAGAAATCAGCAGTAACAGCCACAAAGCTCCATTCACCAGGTATTTATGAACCCAAAAGCAGGGGAATCCAATCTTCAGGGAAGATTTAGGCTTGTTGACTTTGCATCTCTTGTTAACACACTCAAATCTGAGACCTGCTATTGTTAAGTGAGGTTTGTTTGTGTCCAAGGTTCATAAAGCTGGCTTTGAGTACAGCAGGCTTTATCATACCAATGCAAGAGCTGAATAGACTTTTGTTTCTTTGTTACAACCATGCGATCATCTCTACTTCAAAACAAAGAGTTGTTGCTATTACATGTTTAAGGGCAGGAGAATTTTTTTTTTTATCATTACAATTTTCTTATATAAAAAGAGAACACAGATATAGTGAAATCAGACACCTCACACAATTGCCTGGAGTGATAGTATATTACTCAGAATCTACTCTTATGCAGAGGCAGTAAATTTCCTGGGCTATTTCTACACATAATTGGAAAAGGGATTATCTATAGAAATAACCTTCAAAGTGCTATTGGGACATTGTCAGTTTGCCCTTCAATACTGAGCAAACCACATGGTTTTAGCATTTCTGAATAATACCTTTGTTTGTTTACTAAAATGAGGATAACTTGTTTCTCTTTATGTGTAAGTGTACATTGACAAATGTATAAGGTGCCTAAAGGCTTTTGTAAGACTGGTCTTTGGTTGAGGTAAATGTTTCTGAAATGAGCGTGCATGGTCCCACTAATTTCATTGTGCTTGAAGTTTATCTTTTGTTGCCTCATTTTTCAGACTCTACTTGGATACTTAAAATGTCATCTCTGCAACTATATGATATGTGAGATATAATTATTGGGGTAGAACCCCATGTTGCTTTATTTGATAAAATATAAAGCATGTAGAACAGCTCTTCAGCTCCTATGACTTGCATCAGGAGTCTCTTCATGTTTACTAAACTCAGTCCCTATTCTTCTCCTTCTCAACCAACAAAATATAGAAAATGGAAGGTTAAATTTAATCTTCTCGAGCACCAGCAGGACCCACAATTCTTCTCCCTACAAAGATATTAGAGTAAAAAGGTGAACTTAGTGATGTCCTCTGAATCATATAATTTACAGACTATTTTTCACTTGATGAGATCACCAAGACAGATCCAGAGAAGAATCTGTTGCAGAGTGCCAGACCAGAAGCTCACCAGTGTTTGTAACGGTTGGAGTCCAGTTTAAGCATCAGCACTGATTGTGGCTGTAGCAGCATGTTATAGCACAGCTGATTTGCTTCTTTGAGAATTAGAAAGCAAAAGGGAAGAGCGGCATATTTGTACTGTATATTTGTCTTGTCAAGGAGACCTGCATTTCCACGGGTGACTGAATGATTTTCAAGGCTTAAATTTTTGGCGTATCCAATTCATGAGGCCTCAAAGATTTCTTCATTCTCATGAGAGGTTGAGTAACTGACCTCTGTCCATCAGTCTGATTTAGAATTTGTTCAGCTTGATTGTCTGAAATTAAGACAATCTAAAGATGTTTATCACTGTAAGGATCAAGTAGGAAAACAAACCTCATCTTCACTTATTTTTTTAGAGTAGCCTTTGGCATTCTTTAAAATAACAACAGCAATAACAAAACAATACAGACAGACAATTTTTTCACCTACTTAACAATTTCAAAAATAGTCAAAGCAGCCATTGAACAGAGTGAGTGTAGCTAGTGCCAAGGGGCAGTAACACAGGTTTTCCTCCGTTAGGATCACAAACTCCTGCATCAAGTAACTCCACCACACCTACATCTGGCCATGAGCAGGCTCTAAAATTTCTGAGTGCTGTTTTTAGGTTGTTTTTCTTCTGTTACTGGTGTCCTCGCATTCAGTTCCTTTTAATTAGTGCTGTTTTTTCACTGTCATACACCTTTTTTTAGGCTCAAATCTAGTCTTTGGGATTTGGATCAGTCCTCCTGAAGACTTGCAAGGGAGTTTTGAGATGCAGAGACTTTTAGGGATCTCAATTTTGTCTATTGATGCATTACTACCCCTGAAATCTTTGTCTAGGAGCAGATGTCCATAGATGCAGGTGCTCTCCTTCCACTCCATTTTAGGACAGTGCTTTTCTGACATCTATCATTGTACAGGCTGCTTGATATCAATTGTTTCAAAGTAATTTGCTCACTTTCCTTACCAGAATGTCAGAAATTGGACAGTTAAAAGGCAAATAAATTGCATTCCCCATCTAAATCCTCATGGACTGTATTAATTATGAGTATAGACTTGTTATGTCTTCTTGGTTCAAACACTCAGGTAGATAAAAAAGACTTGGGAGTTTTGAAGCAGATCAAAGGGGTTCAGTGATTTCAGCGTACACTGGGTCTGCCCCCCTGGTCCCACCATCAGCAAAAAGGACATTCAGGATCAGGGCCAGCATCATTAATATATACCCTGTTTTGTGCAGAGCAACAGAAGAGAGACATCAATGGGAGAATAAGCTTAGTAAGCTGCCTTTCAGACCCAAATGAACCGAGAAATTCAGATTTATCCCTGAGGAGAATAGCACTGTTTAATTTAGAAGGACAGCTTATAATACTGACAAGGACAACACAGAGATGTGCACTTCAAATCTTCCAGTGAACAGGAAGGCTAGAAAGATATAAGACAAAACAACCTCGTCAGTTTCTGTTTTAATTAAAACTGGACTGATTTCAAGGGCTTTCCTCTACGCTTCTCCCTAAGCTTTCTGTTGTAACACCACTGTGCTGCTTAAACTACCCAAGATTTTTATTCTAAAAAGACAGATGTTTAGGGGTGTTGGTTTTATGAATTTCTTATTTTGTGATATTGCCTACTGCCCAGTTAAGAGCCCTTTGACATGAACAGAAGAATCTGTAAGAAAATACCATTCCATGCAAAAAAATATTCACAGGCTTTAACTGACAAAAAAATGGATAAAGGGCAATAGCTGAACTCTCTGGCTGAACTCTCTTAATGACAGAAACTCCTTGTATTGTACTACTTAGGTCTTGCAACAACATGACACTAGCATCTACATATTGCAAAACCTGGTATTCTTTTTTTGCAAATTCAAGACATGGACACAAAGAATTTCAAAGTTTGTTTTGCACTTGTAGCTCTTTGCAGTTGTACTATGAGATAGTTGGAGACATGAGGGAGCATCTCTGCTGGAGCTAGATCCCTGTAAGCTTAGCCTGGAGCCAGGACGTAGTTGGGCAAGTTGGAAGATATGCTCCCAATAGCTCCACACAAGCTGAGGACCTGAAAAAGTAGGAATAAGTTCCTGGGGTATTACTCTGTCAAAACCATACTGTTTCCCTGCCTCATCTAGTAAAATTGCCCTAAGGATCCATTTGCACACTTAGGCCATGGTCTTAAAGATCTAAAAGGTCTAAAGCACATCTGACAAAATTACCTCTGGAACAATACTCCACTTTACAAATTGACTCAGAATCACACCATCAGAGGCATCTTTGTGGAAGGATTCTTCAGGTTTTTAGGAAAGATGTAGGTAGTATCCACAGCAGAAGAATGTCCCCTGTTACATTCATTGCTGAAGACTGGTTGGAGACATGGTTTCTGTATTGTTTTTCAGGAACTGTATTCTACAAGACTGTAAAACTACAAACTGTCCTTTTTTTTTTCATATTCTTGCATACCTGACCCTTTCTGCTAATGCAGAAATGTTCCAGACCCATGCCCATCATCTCTAGTAACACATGGGACTAAGGTGTCTGACTCTTATTTTCTCCCCCTTTCTTACTGACTTTAGTTCCTAGGCTAAGAGCTGGACACTAATGGGAGGATCTGTGGAAGAGAGGCAGAGATTCCTGGCCAATATTCAGGAATGAGTTAAAGAGTATATCAGCTGAGGAGAGACTGAGGGTAGCAAAAAAAAAATCAGTAGGCTGTGCAAAGGTGATGTCCAGCTGGCCATAAATGTTTGCAGAGGAGAGTTCTCAGAAAGCTAGAAAGGTAAAGACAAAACATTGTCCGAGGGCTGGCTTGAGCAACCTGACACTACCAGGACACTGCCTCTTCTTGCTTCATCCTCATAACTGAGTATATCCAGAGAAACTGATAGCTGACTCAAGCAGGATATGAACTTAGGAAAAAAGCCTCACTGCCCTTCAGTGGCTTACCATGAGCAAGCTTTAGTTCTTGCGCAATTCACGTGAATGTGGCACTGTATTTGAGCTGATATCCTAAACACAAGCTACACTAGTGCTTTCAGATGTTCGTACAGGATCGGGCTTGCTTCAAGCCAACTTGGAGCACATCAGAGGAGCCAGAGTCAGGGCCTATTTCTTCTGGCAAACCATATAGTGATTCTGGTGTGACCAATGATGCAGTGAGACCAGTCATGCAGAGCCAGTGATGTAACTCATCAGCCTTACACAGTACCTGGTGGCACTTGCATCATCATGGCTAGGCTTCGTGAACGAAGATTTGGGAAAATTTGGGGGCACTTGCATACATATCTGTTAAATGCTGCAACTTTAGATGTGTTGTAAGGGTGAGAGCAAGGGGAACTGTCAAGGTAGACTGCAGTATTGTTGATAAAAAGAAACTGTGATATCCCAATAGCAAGCAACCCATGCTGTATTTGCATTCAGGGAGGGACAACTCTGGTTCCTCATTGTCCTATTTGGAGGCAAAAGGAAATCTACAAAGACAAACTGGCACCTCTGTCAAGTCACCAAGCATGGGGTTCAGGTGGACAAAGAAATCATGTGCAGAGTATAAATGTCACATAGCTGTTTTCCACATCCACGGTAAGATAAAGGGAACCTTGACCTGGAAGTGCCCATTTCTCTCACTGCCATTTAAGAGAATGCAGCATTGTACATCAAGATGCAGACGTCTGTTGTTGTAGATGTGTAACACAGGTGAGGTGATTCCTTCCTCTAACGTCAGTTCTCAGTGATACACTTTTAGGACAGTTCTTCCCAACTTGTACAAGACCTTCAGGCTCAGAGCCTGAGGTGATATGACTGTTAAAAAGCTTTGAGCTTTGGCCCCTAGCCACTGTGTTCTTGCTTTTTTTGGAAGTCTTAAAGTTCTGTGTGAGTGCTACAGACCATTTTTGCTTTTGTAGGGATGAGTCCCAAAGGCCTTAGAAACATATAAGGGTCATGTCTATACATATATGTAAGTGACCTGAATGGTCTTTTCTTCTCTCCTTTGTAGGACATCCCAAGCAAAGGCCAACCACCCCAAAGAATGGGTTTTCCCCCAAACCAGGAGAAGGCCGAGACACTGAAAAGCAGTTCATTCAGAGACTGAAGGAAAAATGTGATGAGCAGTCCCGGCAACTAATTAATATTCAAGATGAGCTTAAAAGGGCCAGCTGTGGCTTTGATGTCTTTGCTATAACAACACAGTACTTTTTCAGGCAGGTAAGTGCAATGGGTACTTCTTACCACTGAAAAGATACTTTGCCTTTACATCTGTCCCTTGCCCAAAGTTATTCCACAGTCACTGAAAAGTTGTTCTTGGGACCAAAGCATGTAATTTCTTTGCAATGGTTATTATGAAAAGGGAATTAAAATTTCATAGAATCGTAGAAGGAAAATCTGCAAAGGTAAGGGGAATCTGACACCTTTGTCAAGTCACCAAACTTGGGATTTGAGTGGCCAAAGTAATCATGTGTTGATTGTAGATGTCATCCGGTTGTTTAGGTTGAATAATTTCATTCCATATATTTGAAATTAAAAGTTCAGAAACTTGGAAAAGGAAGAATTTTGACTGAAGTATTTGTCACAAGCATGGAGGGGCTTCAGGATGTTTTTAAGAGTGAAGTCGCAGTCTCTGACCAGTACAGCTGGAATAGAAAGTGTAACTGAGATATTGACACTTGTGAGCAACTGCAAAAGCAATCCATGCATTTAGTCAGCCAAAGGTGTTAGATGAAGGAAACAATTTTCTTTCTCTGAAAAGTTATCTACTCTTCCTGTTCCTCTTGGACCAGGCAGAGTGTCTCTGTTACAGAGTTGCCAATTCCTGGAGAGGTTAGAATAACATCACCTCAGCATTTAGAAGATTACACTCCTTAGGTACAGAGAACATAAAGAAAATGTTGTCAGTAATCAGCAAAGCTTGTTTAGTAACTAAACTCAAGTCAAAATGAATACATTTTAAGATCACAAATGCAACCATGAAAGACTTGTAGGTCTTGCTTGTTTCAAAAGCTGTTTAGTGGGAAATGTAGCTGGGCTGTAAGGTCCAGGCCTGGTACACACGATGCCCATGTATTTTATACCATCTCAGGTTAAGCTGGTGTCCCAGCTACTTTGTAAAAACTGAGACAATCACCAACAGTAGGACTCAAGATTCGGATAATATCCTTGATTGCCTTTTTGTCTACTTTTGGAAGAAACAAGAATAAACTTTCAGTGTTAAATGATAGAAAGAACACCAAAAAAACAAAACTCAGATTCAATCAGTCTTTACAAATTCTGAAATATTTTATTTAGTTTGGGGCTTTTTTTATATTTGTGGGAAAGGTTACCTTTGAAAAAACAACTGCGGTTCACGTTGTTCCCTAAGTAGGAGCTGATCTTGCCAGGGGGAGCTTCACTCAACTGAAAAAAACAGGGAATTTTTAAAATGTCCTAAATATTTTAAATAACTTCCCAGGAGATCTTCCGCCTCTATTTTTCTTTAGGCTTGACATTTCTGGACTTGTTGGGCATTTCTAACCTTTTTCCTTTTTTTTAGCTGACTGTGGAGTATTAATCCTTGTTTAAATCAGAGGGAAACAGAAAAAGGGAGAGCACTGTCTGCTCATCTTTGTCTATGCATTGCCCACTAGGGAGAGGTTTTTCTTCACATGCCTCATTCACAATTTGCTAAAGGAATTCTGGAAGCTTGGGTATATTTTCTTCATCTCCTCTGGATATGCTTTAAATGAGAACAGCTGCTGCAACTGAGCTTTGAGATGACTCTCATTCTGTTGGTGCATGTTATGTCTGTCCTGAGAATGCCTCCTGAACTGAACAACTTAGGGATCTTTCCTGGCCAAGCATAGCTGTGCCTCATGTTCCCAGCTCCTTTGTACTTTGTGCTATCAGGTCAGCTCGAGATTGCAGTAGTGCCTCTCTTGAGTGCCTCGAGGTGAAAAATAATACACCTGTGGAATTTCAGACCTCTCCCAGGCAAAGACAACACAGGCTTCCCTGGATGAGGAGACGTACAGGCACCGTGAGCCTACCAGTTCTCCATTAGAAACCCAGATGTGGTACCTAAGTTAGCAGTATGGCTGCTTTAGCCTCCATTTCTAGTGCATGCAGGCAGGTGAGCACTTTGAGAAGACTACTTAAAGAACCAAAGGTCTGAGTTTCTGCTTGAGGTGCTTGCCTGTCTTGTCTGAGACTTCCAGGGAGGCTTGAGACTGCTGCTAAAGTTGGGAGCCTACATGTAATGGGACAATCTGGGACTACTCAAGTAGTTGTGTAACTGGGCAGTTGGCTGTCTTGCGACATAGACACAAACTCCCAAGTTTTTGAGTGTCATTAGAAAATACGATCTGTAGACATTTTCTGAGATGACATTATTGTTTGAAAGCTTGAACAAAAGTGTGATAGCTGGCTTTGAGTTAGGGCAGCATGGGAAAAAAAACTTCTTACACTATAAAAATAATAACAATTGTGTGTTTTTCTGAGAAGCCTGCAGGCAAAATGGTTGAGATCTGAGTGGAACTGCAGTTTGACAAAGGAAAAATACTAATTTAGGAAAAAGGTGTGGCCTTATTCCAGAGAAGTTTGGGGTGGATTTGTCAAGCTGGAGTTCCACTCTGTTCAGAAGAGGGCACAACCCTATTTTGGTACTAGGGAGTGTCTTTTAGGCTTTTAGTCTCCTGTGTTCAAATTTTAGTATCTCTCTCTCTCTCCTTACCCCACACCATAACAATGTCCAAAACATAGATTTTTCTCTGTTTTGGACTTAAATTCTGTTAGAAAATGTGCTCTGAGCCAGCGAGAACAGGATTGAATCCTAGAAAAAGCCCAAGGACCAGTGTTTTGCATGGAGGTAGGAGTCTACCCATGGCCGTGGCTCTCTTGTCTTGCTCACATTGGTCCTGTTCCCTCTCCAAAGCTGGGGAAAGCTCCAGTGCAACAGACATGTCCAATAAACATGTCCAACAGACTTCTTTAGCTGAAGAAAGAGAGTGTGCATATGTAATAAAGAATGTTGAACCACACTAGCAGCTTGAGAGCTTTCCAATTTTAGGCACTTGTAGCAACCTTCAGATTACGTGACCATTTTCTTTGAGTTTTGTTGGATTTGTTTTCTGGCTGTTTCGGACTACTGCTGAATAATATCCTGGACTCATCTCTCTTTCTTAGTTGAAAATGTTCTTAATGGGCAAGATTCATTTAATTGACATCAAGGAGTTCACAACATGTAGCAATATTTAAGACAGACCCATTAAATGCCAACTAAACCAATTTGCTATATTCAGGAAAAACCTAGGCAACATAAGCAGGTGATACAAACCTGCTTACGTTTGGGGCAGTAGACACAAAAAAATTAAAACAGTGGTTCTGACATAAGCATTTAGCAAATTATGAAAAATAATGATTGCAGTGCTGGTAGAGAGCATGGCTTTTAATTATTATTTAATTAGCAGATGTATTAAAGACCTTCATATGTGCACATATGACTCTTGTTGACTTTGACAACTGCTTCAAATTTATTCTGAAGGGGAGTAAATTAACTTTATCCTTAATGTCAGATGTTCATCATTCCAATACAACCCTTGTGCTGTGAGGGGTTCTCCAAAGTGAACTGTCAGAAGCTGAAGTGATACTATGAAGAGGATACCATGAAGATTTTTTGAGCAAATATCTCGAAGGGCTCCCCCTGATTGGGGTCGGTCCTGGCCGGCTCTGGCTTGTTAGCCCAGTGACAGTGACAGTGACAGTCCTGGCCCAGTTTCAGTCCTGTTAAGCAACGTATCCAGCAGTGATCCCTCTTGAAAGTGGTAATAGTGCCACCTAAAGGACAGTAACCCAAAGTAACAAATTCTAGAGGAAAAGTCCTTCCAGACATACATAGGGAGAGAATAAAAATCCACTTTAGTGTCTCTAAAGTGACACTAGTACACTCATAGAAGACATGTTTGTGCTGAGGGCTGTCATGGCCAAAGTGTGCCAAGGCCCTGGAAACTGGGCTAATGGCTTTCTGCCAATCCAAGCATCCAGAAAGTGGAGTCCCAATAGCAAGTTCTGCTTCTGAAATTTTAGAGTAGAACTCCAGAGCTACAGTGCATGTGAGGGAAGGGATACTTTCTGAGCTGCAGATCCCAAGGGTAAGCACAGATAAGGGAAAGGGTTACTCTGAGGTAGTCTGTCCCAGCTCTGCTTGGGCATGAAGGAGTTTCCAGACCTGCAGCGTGGCCTCGTGCTGCAGTTTTCATCATGAGGGAAAAACTGCTCAGGACAGGCCCCAGCACTTGAGGTCAATCAGATCAACTGGGAATAGAGTAACCAGACAAATGTCCTGAACAAGAGTTGGGACAACGCTGCGGGACTTGATGGCATTCCAGAACTTTGTGTCTACCAGCACTGGGAAAGGTGTGTCACTGGTAACCAGGGTGTGTTTTTGTCTCCACATCTAAGCGTGAGTTACTTTTGAGTGGATGTACAATACACATCTTACAGACAAGTAAATGCATGTAGCGATGTCCTGCAAAATTTAGGATGGACAAGGAAAACCTTTCCCCTCTTTCGAATAACAGATATATGTGTGCTTGTGTGTCTTTTTCAGAGTAATGTTTCTGTTCTGTGAATGGACAATATGCCATCCAGTGTCATATAACCTCCTTGGCCAAATGCTAATGACTGCTTGTGCTAGAGGCAAAATTGGTCGCACTATTTATAAGTTGCTTGGCACTTCCCACTATTACCTCCAAAACATTAATTTGGGCTAACATTTCAAGTGATTATCTCAGGCTGAGCTGAAAATAGTTTATTTTCACAACTGTCTCAGAGAATAAGTTTAGGAGAAATAAATCTGTTGTTTGTGCCTCATAGTGGCACAGTGGTAAGAAGCCAGCACTTGCCAGAAAGGTTGACCTTCTAGCTTTCAGGGGTACTGCTTTCCCAAGAATAGTCCTTAGAAAAGTGCCACTCCTTCCTCCTTACAATTGCATCTTGGCTAGATGTTCTGTATTGAGCAAGTTCAGTCTTTTCATTGCTCCTGCTGGAGATCAGAGCAGCCAGAGCATATCACTATTTTCACTCTGTATCTTAGAAAACAGACACATTGGACACTAAAAGTTTAGGGTCATGAATCAAACTCATTTTATTGTGAGAAAAACAAAACACTTTTTTTATTTGGCAGGAAAAAAATTAGAAGCTTTGTCATCAGTTAGAGCTTTCTAAACTGCTTTTTA